GTCACGATTATCAGTAGGAGCATAAATACACTTACGACTACCCATTCACGATGTTCTATAATTAGCTTCACGCATGCCCGTCTACCCTAGAGGTTGTTGCCAGCGTAATAATCAATTATCTCCATGTCTAAGGACCGGTGGATAAGAATGGCGACTACTCGCCTTGAACCCTATGTCGGGGACCAGATCTTGGGTCCGTCCCACCAAGCACCCGGCACATTTATCTTCACTTAGTTCGGTTTCTCGGAGGCAGACAATTTGGACATTATTATCGTGTAGCCAGGATTTTTACTGGGCCTTGTTGTGTTTGCCTTCGTATCTCCAAGGCCTGGCAGGTTCCACCTAGCGAAGGAGATCGTACCCGTACAAGGAAGGAGCAAATTCTTCCTGAGCTGGGGTAGAGGACAGCCAAGGGCCAGCAAATTGGATTGAATAAGTTGAGAGGTGATCTTCTTTTCGTTGGGAGGCTTGCTCTCGACTGCGATGAAGCATTCAGCAGTTTCCAAGGGCGGAATCGCAATGCGAGACAAGCTTTGCGGTTGTTTTTCTACAAACGAGGATAGGGGGAGAAGGTGCAAGCCTTCTCTATCAAGCTTCTCCAGTTGACCCTCATTAAATCGTTTAGTTAATCTTTTGTCCAGGACTATACGGGTTATTGATCAACAATTGAGCCACAAACTCGTCTGGGATGCAGCGGATGCAGGATTTGTCAGCAATGGCTGGGTGGATAAGCATGCAACCATAGCATTGGGCATATGCAGATTAGGGGAAAGGATAATGAGGACAGGAAAGCCATTACGTCCCGTAAACTCAACAAATCGAATAGAGTTTCTGGCCACTGTTGATTGAAAACGAGGGAGCAATTTAAAATCGACGGTTTGTGCTTGACCGTGGTGAGAGCTACGGGAATTCCACTGTGGGTGGTCTTGCTACCAAGGGGACCTATAGTGGAAAGCAATTCAAGTGTTTGTCCCGAATTTGAGAGTCCTCAGATTGATTCCCAGCCGAAGCCGGGTAATCTCAAATGACTTGTGTAACTCTATATGGGACGCTGGGCCCGGTTCCCAGCACGTGCTGCTCCCCAGGAATAGATTGGAGTTTTTGTCCCCCCAAAAAAAGAAAAAGAGGTAGCGGGTCCTTCACCATCAATATATATCGAACCCGTGGCAGAGCTCCTATCGAAGCTGAGCCGCCGTTGCTTACCATGTGTAGTCTTTTTAAGCCTGCTTGTACCTGCACGCCTGTTGGAGCGGCTTGTGCCCTGATTGCGTGGAGTCTATGTTTCAGTCTCTTGAGGGGTCCTGAGTCCTGTGGTTTGAGTTCCTCCTCCATGCGTAGGTCGGTAGGAAAGGAAAAAAAAAAAAAAGATTGGGACCCCGCGGTCCCGCAAACCAAAAAAAAACTGAGAACTTCGGAACCAGAGACTGGGGGAAGGCCCTCACCAGGTGGAAGTCACACCAGTGCTGTGAGGTGCTCTGAGGAATGTATCTGGCCAGCATGTGGGGACGTGATTGCTTATGTTTTGGTTTTTGTTTTCCTTCTTCTCGTTTGTTGTTGGTTTTCTGCCTGCGAGGCAGGGCGGATTCCACAGGGGGAAGCCAACTGCCTCACTCACGTCGTACTCACGCCTGCACTGTAGCATCCTGTATTGGACCGCAATAGCAGCGTAAGGGAAGGTCTTTTATTTGTCCTTCATTCGTTTTTCATAGGACAGATACCCGTACTGAGGGCACAGTCTCACAAGTACCTCATAGAATGTGTCTGATGGCTATTGCATGTGTAGGGAAGTTTCTTTTTTTATCCTCTTTTTTTTCTTGGTTCTGTTCTATTTGGGATGTAACGGCGGTAAGTACCAGTCTAGAAATAAGAATGGGACGCAGGCTCGGCAAAACTTGGTGCGCAATGAAATTCAGGTTCGGCAAAAACAAGATCCGAGGTAGTGGTGGTTTAACGCCATTTATCCGTGTTAACTTTTCTGACAGCAGGATTGATAGGCCATGCTCTCACAGTTTGCGTTCGTACTGGAAATAAAAATCATGAGCTCTTGCCCTTTTGCTCCACACGAGATGTCTGTTCTTGTTCAGCTTATCTTAGCACACTTCAGGTTGATCTGGAGGCCAGATTTTGACGAATCCGCCAGCCAAATCTTATTCGGAAGCACACCGTACTGTCTAGTGTTACCTTTGATCTGGTGCCTTCTTCTAGGCGGGCTGGATAGAGTAGCTGTGGCACCCTTGGTATCAGCTGCAGGCTAGTTGTACGCTAGTTTGTAGTTGGACTGGGCAGGTGCTTCAATGTTTGATAATGAATTTCTTTTGGGAAAAATCCCTCTTCAGTCATCGTATAGTGCCTAGCCACGTAATAAAATTTGCGGGTGCCACATTTTCACGGTCAGGATTCCTTGCTGTGCCGTTGTCTGCAACCTAAAAGTATTGTCGCAGCTGTCAGAACTGTTGAATATGTGAACTGCTGGAAGGTAGCTTGTGGCTACAGAAGTCTGTCCTTGCGCAGTTATGGCGTTCCCGAGACCCAGTGGGATGTCACAAATGTGTGCATTGGTGGTCAGTTCAACTACTGAAGGTGGGAAATTAGTGGTGTGAGGCATCTTTGGCATGGTATTAGTGCTTCTGTCTGCTTGCATCCAGGTGTTATGACTGGAAACTAAGTTGTAGTGTGGCATCATTTTCTAGAACTCTAAAGCTTTCGCTGACGTGGAGAAGTTGCTATAAAAAAATTGTCTTTGTATGTGGGAGTTGCGTATTATAACTCGTAATGGTAAAATAAGAATATGTAATGGTTGGTGAAAGGGCCTAATTGCAGCTTAGCAGTTCCACTACAAACCCGTCCGACCTAGAAAATTCCTGACGATTAGAGTGGACGGCTTGCACTTGAGCCTGCTGCTAGGCTACATGCAATCCCCAGCTCAATTGTTGGACATATAAGGCATCGAGAGCCCATTTGTAGGCCTGAATCTAAGTGGGGGGCTTGTGTCTGGGCCGAGTGGGCTCATGCGTGCCACCCACTTCATATGCTGGGCATGGTAGTAGGTTCCGGAACAGATGCTGATGTACTTGAAAATTCATGTGGTTAGTGCTTGTACTGTGATCCTTTTAAAAGGTACTTTTTCATCTCTGTCTCTGTCTCTCTCTCTCTCTCTCTTTTCCTTCTGTCCGTCTCTCTCTCTCTCTCTCTTTTTCCTTCAGTCCGTCTCTCTCTCTCTGTGGCTTTTCTCTCTCTCTCTTTTTCNTTTCTCTCTCTCTCTCTCTCTCTCTCTCTCTCTCTCTCTCTCTCTCTCTCTCTCTCTCTCTCTCTCTCTCTCTGTGGCTCGCTTACTCATTCACTCGTGTGCTGAAGTGTGTTGACCCACTTGCGCTGACATGACTTGAACGTACCACTTAAGCTAAGAACTGGAAAGATTGTTTTATGAGAGTATCAACACTGATCCTCCTCCTCCCTTTCCCTCTTCCCCCCCTTCTCACTCTGTCTCGTCTCTGTCGCTGTGTCACTTGCTTGTGCTGATCAACTTGGGGTACCGGGGTACATTGCCTGAAGGGCAAATCTTGCTGACCGTAGTCACTGCACAGATGGTTGAGGTGTACAAATTACTGAGAGGAAAGCTACGTGAGATGTTGATGTCTGAGCTGCGAGGATCCGAAACGATTTATATTTGGCTAGTTCCTTTTGTCTGGTGCTGTACTTTGCTTTCCTTGTTTTGCTCCTTCTGATCCATTCATCCTTTTGTTGTGAGCTGACTAGTGGCTCTTGCAAATGTCGCTGACCTGCTCGTTCTCACACCACTGCGTTTTTGTGTTTATGGCCACCTCATTTGATGTGGTCCTATTGGTTTAACCAGATTTGTTTCCCTGAGGTCCTCCGCACATGGTTCAAAATGACCCATATCTAACTTTGTCACTCCATCTGGATGCGTACTTCCTGTTAGTGTTGGGATTTCGGGTCACGAGCTGTTTCTCCAGCAAGCTCCTATGTTTGGTCTGCCCGTCTTTCACATTCATTGTTGGCGGGTGATATCGTGTTGCTAGGAACTCTTGGGATTACTCAAATTGTTGGCTGCGTGGCGTGTGCGCACCTCATCAGGCCAGTACTTTTTGGAGTCTTTCTTGACCAGTGCACGTGGATGGAAAAGGCACCCTATATAGGGCAGGCTGGCAGGTATCCCTTTAGGCAGGCAAGCAGGCAAATACGCAGGCATTGCTCTTGTGCATTACATGTGAGTGAGAGCCCTGCTGGTCCTCTTGTCCTTTTAAGGCTGGCAGGTACACTGTGAGCCCTTGCTATACAAACAGGCAGTATTACTAACAATTTTTTTTTTTTTTTTGGACCATTTCTCAATTTATGCGTGTCATCCTTGCGCAGGGGCCATGCTAATCTTCTCTGTATCGTTCCAATTTTAACGGATGTCCCGAAGGACAGTATTACTAACAATGCAGGGAATGATTATTCCAAATCCAGGGAGGTATTCCCAATTCAGGCAGGTAAATCATACAAGGCAGCAGCCAGTACTGGTAGGAATCACTGAGATCAGCCAGTACCGGTAGGAATCACTGAGATCATTCGGTCATTTGCAAGGCTGATAGGCAGATAGTCCAGCAACATTGATGGAAGCCCTTGCAAGGTAAATCAGGCAAACGGGCTGGTTACTTTTCCCAGATTAAGTAGGTATGCTTTTGCTGTGGGCAAGGGTAGGAAGTCATGCTGTAGAATGTGGATATGTTCAGCCACGGCTTACAAGGTGGGCGGGGAGGATTGCTCCATGGGACGAAGACACAGACACAGGTGTGCTTGACAAGACAGACGTCCATCTCAGCTCAGCATTTGCTGCGTTTAAGGGAGACAGGCAAGAGCACTTTGGCGGGCTTCCTGCAGAGCTGTGTGGGTGCTTCTGCTCAGTGCTTCGGTCCGTTTGTTGTACGCTTTCTGCTATTTGCAAGCAGCTGACAGAGGGTTGCTTGCGTTTTGGTTGTGCGTGATTGCATCTACAGAGGAAAAGTAATGTGGTGATAGTGGCTATGGTCGCCTTGGAATATGGTTGAGGATCCAATATGCTTTGGGCTGGCTGGAGGAGGCTGACCATGAAATGGTATGTAATGTACAGAGTTGGGAAGGAACAATACTGAGGTGGACAGTTACCAGATTCAACTCAACCACGTTGTAGTGGCATCAGGTGTGAGGTTTCATTATGGTGATATTAATTTTCCCACTTTTCTCTTTTGCTCCCAATTTGCTTCAGATCAGGAAATTAGAGGAAACAAAAAAAAAACCCTGGCAATGCTAAGAAGCTTGTGGTGGCTGCCGGTTTGGTTGCTTGGGAGGTCTGATAAGACAGCTGGCCAATGGGGGTATAGGCCATTGCAGGAGTGGTCCCCTTTCTTGATAACTTGCCACTCTGAGAAACAGGAGTGTTGGTGGACACCTCCCAAACAACAGGTCTTTGTGGAAGCTGTCTGAATCAGCAAGTTGTATTTGCTAACCCCCATCCCTATCTAAACCACCAATACCCAGCTCAGCTACCCGGGAGAATGCACCAGTTAATGCGGTGCCATGGAAAGGGTCGACCTACCGGGCCAAAACAGGCTTGCGGTGGCTTGCAGTGGCTGGTAGGCCCTTGTGATTGTTCTGTGTTCTAAATTGGCAGTACCTCGCACAGGCAAACTGGAGATTGTAAATTGGCAGTACCTTGCCCAGGCAAACTGGAGATTGTAAATTGGCAGTACCTTGCCCAGGCAAACTGGAGAATTGAAAATGCGACATTCCGGGTTCTTGGGATGAGCGGTGCTATTATGGGACCCCAGCTGAAAAAAAAATGAAATGCCTCCGTGTCGGGTCTCTTTTTTGTTTGGGTGTGCAGTGGGAATCCATGTGGTGGTTGAAAGCACCAGAACATCTGAGCCTCGTTTTGCCGAGGCAGACTTCCCCTGCATGCCAAGCTTTTGTCGAAACACTAGCGCAGTGTTTTTTTTCCCCCGTTTTGGCCATTTGGGTCCGGTAGCACTGTTCCCCTGAGCTTTTCGGAATGACTCATCTTAGATTCTCAAATTTGCCAGAGTGGTGTACTGCCGGTTCAAGGGGGGCATCCATCGGGAAAAAAGAAGCTCGGAGTTACTTGTAGTTTTAGGGCCAGATAGTGCTGGTTTTTGGTGGCCTCTGTTGAAGTACTTTGGGAGAGCATTTCAGAAGTGATGCTTACCTGAGTCCAACTCCACCCTCACTCAAGCCCTGGGTTGTTGCCCTGAAAATCAGTGTACGACCTCCTGGTAATTATTAACCGAATATCAGAATTATGGGTACTTGGAGCAAACACCCTGGTGATTACTATGAATAACGGAACTATGGCTACCCGAAGCAAACATTTAGAGCACCTTCCTTAGCAGAGCACCTCTGTGTGTCTGTATGTTTTTCCATGAGCAACTCTGCCATGCACACACACACGCACAGACACAGGGGGGGGGGGAGAGAGAGAGAGAGAGAGAGAGAGAGAGGATGTAAACCTAGATCAACAATGCGAAAAACTGATGCAAGTAAGGGTGTCCAGAGGATGGTCGAGGTAGAAAACTGATGGCTGCATGGATATAAGTGATTGCTGATGAGAAAACATTTCATACTTGGTATGCCAGACTGAACTTCAGAGCCGATCGGGAGTGGGAACCACCCAGATTTCGGTGTCCAAAACGTTTGGGGAAAAAAGGGGACTGTGAAAACTGATGTGGCCCCATGGGACATCCGGTAAGACTGGAACAGTGCAGAGAAGAAGATTAGTGCGGCCCTTGTGCAAGGATGATGCGCAAAATGAGAAATGGTCCAAGGAAAGGAAACCAGTGCGCTGACACGGCATCAGTGCCCTCAAACAAACGCCAGGCATGCAGTGATAGAATTGCTGGTAGTGGCAAGGGGGGGGGTTGTCAGGGCTGCGCTCAGCAGGGAATTCTTTGGCAATTTGGACCTCTATTATCATGAGGATTGGTTTTGCTCTGTTAGTGGAGAGGATGGGAGGGTCAGGAGGTGGTGACGGGACGAGTAGTGGGCTGTGACATGGGATGGCAGCACTGGGCACGGCCTGAATTGTTTTTGCGAGGACTTCTTTTTTCCAAATTGGCTGAGATGGCAGGGGCTGTAGGCAGCGGCAGGCTGGTGGTATATGTGTGGCAACATGGTTAGGGGCAGGCCTAGACCCAGCAGGGAATTTTGGGGAATGGGGCTAAATTGCGAGGACTGCTCTTGTGATTAGACCACATTTGGGCTTGATGTTGGCTGAGGCCGGTCGCAGTGTACACTGGGTGCATGGAGGGCTGGCGTATGAGTGGCAGGTGGTCCTTGGTGGTTGTTTACTGACTTTTTTTTTTTTTTTGTCTTTTCCATTGTGATTAAAAATGTTCTGAATCAATGAGGAACGTAGATGGAGTTGTAATGAACCCTACTGCGGCAGCTCACATGATCATCATCAGACTATGCTCTTCATGGCTTTCTGATATCTCTCTCTTCACCCACAGGCTATGACCTCTCCCTGATATCTCGCTCTCCTCATCTATGGTGCAGTTGCACCTTCTCCTGCCTAGCTATAGTTGCCACTCTCTCTTCCTCTTCTGGCTATGGCTGCTCCTCTCTCTCTCTGTGTCTCTTTGGCGCTGGTATTCTTTCCTCCATTGCTCTTGCTCTCAGCGGAGCTCCAGCAGAATGTGCCAGGCAGAATGTGCTTTGACTGGGGAATGCCCAGCCAATATTGCATTCACCGGCCTCAGTCACCCTGCTTCTGGGCCTGTTGTAGGGCTCAGATCTGTGCGAGTGGCGTCTGAGGCTGCCTGTACCCAATAGGGTTGATATGCACCAGGGAACTTTCAGAGTGTTTGGAATTGTGCTGCTCGGGTACTACCTGCCTCTCAACTTTGATTGGCCTGAAATGAGCTTCACTGGCCCCTAGGGACTCAGTTCGGACGTTGGACCCCAGTCCTACAGATTGTAGGACGTCTGGACTTGTCCTCCTGATCCTGAAGAACTTCTGACCTTGAACATATACACTTGGTCACATATTGCATTGCTGGTTTTGATCCCGAAACTTTTGTTATGGCCCCGGAGATTTCACAATGCAAAGACTCGAAGAGAGAATGTTTTAATTACAACTGAATGGAACAGATTGGAAAGAGAAATAGGCAGAGGAGGAAGAAGTATGGAGAACGGAAGAAGAAGAAGAAGATGATGAACACAAGCAAGAATCAATGCCACTCCTCCCTCAACTCGCCAGCATCTCTCTCAACATTTTATGAAGAATAACAAGATTGGGGATGAATGAATGGAACCAGAATCAATGTCCGAATCCTGCCATAGTGATCCCACACCCCCTACCACTTGGTCAAGCCGGTGGCCATAGCGGACCATCGGAGCTTGGCTCCGTTGTTTGCAGGACAATGCAAGGCTGCTATGCCTCTCCCACTATGGGCGCCATGCCACAGTCCATCCCTGAAGTCTTCTAAGTATCACCCCACTAGGAGCCTTAACAAGTGCAGCGCCAATCGAGAAGATGAAGATGCAGACCACCGTAGCCAAGGTAAGCTCCTTCTTCACTCTCCTCCACCTCGTCCCTCCTCCTCCCTCCCCCCTCCTCCTTCCTTCCTAGGTGTCCGCCGTACCTAGACCTTCTCCCACCTCCGTCACCTCCACCATAGCTGTGGTGGGGGCGAAGCTCCACCTCTTTCCTCCACCCAGCACTGTTTCAGCCAGGCGGTTGCGCCAAGCTGCACGCCAACAAAATGAGGCTGAGCTTTGCGTCTCCTTTCTTGATATATGCAGACCCTCTTCGCCTGTGACCTCCAGGCAACTGGAGCGGTTTCCAAGGCTTACTGGTTCCCTCCTTTTGGCAGGAAACAACATTTCAGTCTGGTATCTCCCTTTGCAGGCTCCAGATTCTAGGCCTACCGGGCTTGTACCTACCCCTAAACATATCGGTACATAGAGGTACTAACTTTGTCTTTTTCTGCTACCCTACCCGGCACTTCCTGATTTTGTCCTCCGCAGTCTCTTTTCATGTACTCCACCCCCTGCAACCCCAGCTACACATGACTACAGGTTAGTACCAGGCTCGTCGCAGGCCATTCCAGCACACAGACTGTCCGCAGCGGGTGACACACACACATAAGCGGGTAAGCACGTGGGACTGACAGAATTCTCAGCACATCAGTACAACACGCAGCAATACTAAGAAAACAGCAGATCTCTTAGTCTGTGATTTTGCTGGTCATTACATCACGCCCCCCTTAAGAGCGAGGTCCCTTCGAGCGACTAGATGATCACAGTGCCTGCAAAATGCGTCGCAGGTGAGCATGCAAAGAGGGCTGTCATCTGTTCATGTGGGGTAAGATGCTCATGGCGCTCGTATGCGATTACTACCCGAGGTGCAGTCTTGATCAGGACTTTGAGGGAGATCCAATAGAGTTCATCAAGAGGATGATACAGGACATGCACTTGATATTCTGTCCGGTCCGTCACCTGCATAAGTAACTATTCTGTCAACTTCATATCTTCCGTTGATGGTGCAAGGGATCATAGGATCACAATGAAGAAAGGAAGTAGAAGCAGTGTAAGGATAAAACTTAGATGAATGAAACACTGTATATATTTGCAGATGAGGGGGTAAGTCAACCACATAGGAAGGACCAAAGTTATCATCCCCCACAACCTTCACAATCTGCCAAGGGTCGGTAGTATAACTCGTGACTCCATCTTGAAAATCCAAAAGTTGCAGGTCCGCGTCGTCGATTGGCAGACTTTGTTCATCGCATCCTGTTGCTTGTTCATTGCCGCGATTGCAACTTTTTGAGCAAACATTGGTACTTTATTCCGTAGCCAGGCATGCCAAGGGTCAGACGACCAGGACTATCAGGGAACAAGAAATCACAAGAGGGTTGCAAACCCGCCAACTGTTTTGAAGCATGTTTGGAGCACGCTGGTTGTGAAGTGAATGGAGGCCCCTTGACTGCATCCAACTCTTCATCCCAAGTCTTGTGACAAGGTTCAGCGTATTTGGCGAAGGGGGGTTCTACCGAGAGAGTGTGCTGAATTCTGATTACTCTAGCTTTAACGACTTTTGCTCCCGAGTCCCAGCTACGGAAAACTCCGAAAGAGATTGGTAACGTTCCTCGACATCAGGGCAAAAAAGAAAGCAAGAAAATGGGTTGGTCCATGGACAAATATTCACGCCAAACCGAACGCATATTTCGATGTGACCCACTAAGCGTGACGTGACGCTCCATGCTGGGCAGGGCCGGGGGGTCGTTTTTTTTTTCCTTTCCTTTTTTTTTATTTTTCCGGTTTGTAACAAATAGACGCAATGATTCTGGTGGCTTAAGAAGTACACTTAGAACCTGTGAAAGTTGCCGACTTTGCATGTAAGATCCCCCCCCCTCTGAGACTCGGATCAGCTAGAAGGAGATCTTGTCAAAGTACTTGATCTGTTGTAGTTGCTCTTGTTGAAAGACCTATGTTGGGTTGTGTTGTTGATGCGCTAGGACTACCTATTGATGGAAAAGGTGCTTTGGGCGCCTTAGAGAGTGAAGACGTGTAGAAGTCAAAGCTCTAGGAATAATTGACACGGGTCATGCGATACAATGCGCAAAACCTTACCAGCCCTTGTCATATGAAAGAAAGTCCTTGTAAAATGTGGTATCTTTTCTGGACTTGTCTACATTACTTCGTTGCAATAGTCTAAGTTTTTAGCGCTGTTTGACTTTTGTGAGACTTGTGCAGGGTTGTGCAGTTTTGGAAATTTGCCAAATGGAAAATTGGGAAAGGGAAGAATAACTCGATCCCAGAAAGGATATGGCCTCAGCGAGTGTATGCAGTCAGACATCACATGAACCAATATTGATTGTTCTAAGGAATGTCTTGCTGTTTGAGAAGTACTGTTGCTTTTTGGCAAGCTGTTGGAGGATGAAGGGGTAATGGCTGCTAATAGTGATAAGTGAAAATATTTTTGTTTGTTGTGCGTTTGCAGGCTGTGTGATGTTCTTTGTCCATCCACCTGTGATACGACTTTACTTCGTCGACAAACCAAGACACTCCTAAGGTGAGGAATGAGTGATTGAGGATGCTTGTTTGTGGAAGATGGCAGGAAAGGTCCTTTCCATGGGACAGGGAGAATGATAATTGCCCAAGTAACGAGTGAATTGTAATGACTTACATTCCCTTTTCATCGTGGTGGGCATCTATCCACTCTGAAGTATCTTGGTGGGCATCTTCCACTCTAAAGTCGATTGTCACAACTTTGGGCAGCCAAACCACCTTCACTTGTGTTGATGAGCTGCCGGAGGCAGAGTAGTGTCCTTCAAGCCAAGCACCCATGCTTTGTATTTCTGCTAGGGACACGTGCATCCAAGAGAGAGAGAGAGAGAGAGAGAGAGAGAGCTGCACTGTGGGGCCCAGGGCTGCAAAGAAATGGCAAAAGTTTTGTAGTCTCGGTGCACCATCTACGAGTACATGCTGAGTACGCATACCGGAGTACGCTTATGATTAAAAACTTGCATACGCGTACTTGGAAAAAAAAAAGGAAAGAAAAAAAAAAAGAAAAAAATATATGTTCTGTAGACTAGGACGAGGGTGAGAAGCAGGGACATGAACTGGAGCACTTAAAAGTTAGAACTATATGAAGTTAGAGCAGTTGATGTTGGTACTAAGAAAAATAATTGGCCATGATGTTGGTACTAAGTTCTTTGTAATAACTTTCTATGGCAATGCTGCACAACACATGGTTTTGAATCTTGTTCTGGAGAATGCAGTCTATCAATTTAACCTAAACAACTCGAATTGCATGGATTTTGCACCCTGGAGCATGGTCCATGTCAATGTCCCCAGTTTGGATGTTCTGATGGCTGCCATGTTTGTGTGTGCAGGCAGAAACCATGACTTTCCAGTTAAATCAAACTCACAGCAAAGTGTGCATTATGTGACACTTAGCTTGGGGCCCACATCCTGACCTCCCTCTTACCAAACCTTTTTTATTTGCGCTCCTTTGCATCCTCTCCTCTCCTCTCCTGTTGTCCATCATGCTGATTTGTCGTGTCCCATGGCAACCTATCATGATTATATTCGTGAACCTCTTTAACTTCCAATCCAGTCCTCATTTCCCGATTTCTGTATCCTCAACTTCCTATCCAACCCCTGTACAAAGACATCTCCCGGGTTTTGTCCTCCCCCCTATCTTGCGGCCTATCTGAACTTCTCACTTCCATTCGGGAATCTCCCTTTCCTGTCTGGAACAGACCTCCCCCGTCCTGGACCCTACTATCGGGACTTGTTATCTGGGCCCCTCACTCTCAAGATGTTCCTCCCGTCCTTGAAAAAGACCTTTGTGCTGCAGTGCAGATCTATTCTCTCCCATCTTAACCTCCTTCCTCACACCTGTCTTGTCCTTTACATTTGGACCTCATCCCCCTATCTTGGCATGCTCCCTTTCATCCAGGCACGCTCCCTCCCATCTTGGCCTGTCCCTTCCCATCCGAGCCTTGACCTGAGCTTTCGGGTCTCTCCCCTCTTGTGTGGGGCTCCCTCATCCTGTCTCAGTCTCCCATTGGGTTCCCTCTTCCCATTCAGGCATACACTTCCCATGTGGGTTGTGCGTAGCCCCTCACATCTTGGCCAGGTGTTTTTTGTCCCATCTGGACTGTGCCCTCCCCACGTCATCCATGCGAGGATGCTCGAGGCCTCGTTTAGCCCGGGTATCTTCCTTTCCGTCCAGGCCAAGGTCCTTCTTCCCCACCCACTCGGGGTCAGGCGTCACGCCTGGCCGGGGTGGGAGAACACCCCTTTTTCTCTCTTGGAGATGTCCTCCCTCCCTTTTGGTCGCAACACACCCCTCTCATCTTCATCTGTCCTCACGTCCAGCGGTCCACCCTCCTATCTGGGTGCCTCTTCTTCTGTTGTTAGGAAAAACCTTCCTTCATCTATTTTTGAAAGATCACCATGCGTATGTCCACCTTTTTTTTTCTTTTTCTTAACTTTCGTACGTCTGATAAGAGCCTCACTCCCAGACTTCCAGTCATGCGTGTCGCCGACCCCCAATTCACTCTTGTTTGCATCTCTGAACCTCCTTCCTGTCTTATGTTTGTCTATGCCATAAGCGGTTAACGGGTAGCTGAAAATTCAGTAATGAAAATTATGAAGTGAGAAATTTATGATCGTTTATTTGCCCCGAATCCGGAGTGAGAAGTATGTTCTTCATGGTGAGCAGTATGCACCCACATTTTATTTGTCATGAATTCAGGATTTTCAGACTGTCTAAAGAGGTTGCTTTCAAGGTGTTCAGACCCTTCACCACGTCAGGATGGTTCGGGATTTTCGGTCTTCAGACCCTTCACCACGTCAGGATGGTTCAGGATTTTCAGACTGCCTAAACAAGTTGCTTTCGGGGTGTGCAGACCGTTCACCACTTTAGGATGGTTCGGGATTTTCAGACTGCCTATCTCGGCAACTGTTTGGACAATATGAAAATCCCGAACAATCCTGAAGTGGTGAAAAGTTTGAAACACCCCGAAAACAACCTATCTTGACAACTGTTTAGGTAACCTGAATATCCCGAAACATCCTCAAGTGATGAAGGGTCTAAACACCTTGAAAGCAACCCGTTTAGGCAGTCTGAAAATCCCGAACCATCCTGAAGTGGTGAAGGGTCAGAACACCTTGAAAACAACCTAAGGTTGTTTTTAGGGTTGTTATTAGGGTGTTCAAACATTTCACCAATTCAAGATGGTTCCGGATTTTTAGACTGCCTAAAAGTGTTGCTTTCAGGGTGGGAAAACCCTTCACCACTTCAAGATGGTTCGGGATTTTCAGACTTTCTAAACAAGTTGTTTTGGGGGTGTTCAGACCCTTTGGCACTTCTGGATGGTTTGAGATTTTCAGACTGCCTATCTTGGCGACTATTTAGGCAACTCTAAAATCCCGACAATTGGAAAATCCCAAAGAATTGTGAAGTGGTGAAGGGTATGAACACCGTGAAAGCAACCTGTTTAGGCAGCTTGAAAATCCGAACCATCTTGAAGTGGTGAAGGATTTAAACACCTAGAACACAACCTATCTTGACAACTGTTTAGGCAATATCGAAATCATGAACGGTCCGGGTATGAACATCTTGAAAAGATCCTGTTTAGGCAGTTTGAAATCCCGAACAATCCTGAAGTGGTGAAGGGTCTGAATAGCCTGAAAACTATCTATCTTGACAACTGTTTAGGAACTCTGAAAAATCTCGAATGGTCCTGAAGTGGTGAAGGGTTTGAACACGTCGATTAGGCAGGCTGAAAACCGCGAACAATCATGAAGTGTTGAAGGGTCTAAACACCTTGAAAAAAAAATATCATAGTAACTGTTTAGGCAGTTTGAAAATCCCGAACGGTCTTGAACACCTTGGAAACCACCTGTTTAGTCAGGTTGAAAATAGCGAACAATCCTGAAGTGGTGAAAGGTATGAACACTTCAAAAACAATCTATCTTGGCAATTGTTTAGGCAATTAAAATCTCGAACGGTCCCGAAGGTCTCAATGGTAAAATTATGTATGATGAAAAATATAACTGTTGCCAACCATATCTCGTTTTCGTTCCATCCCAAGCTCCACCCCCTCATCCCAACCATTTTTGATTTCCTTCTGATCCTTACCTTTCCTCTCCAAAACTCCATCATATGTGTCCTCTTCCCTTTCAGTCCGTTGCCTTTGTCCTATCTTCTCCCCTCCTTTCCAGTTCTCCACTCTCCAAACATCTGGACATCGTCTCTTGCCTTCTCCTATGGGCAGAATGATTGCGTCTATCTGCACCTCCCTCCTTCATCAGGACCTTTGCTCCCTTTTCCTGAGCTCCCCCTCTGTTCCTGATTTGCTTGGCTTGCATTTTCCTTTCCTCATTTGAATCATTTTGGCATTAAGCCCTCTCTTCCACACAAACCTGCACCAATCATCCAAATCTCGTGTATCGATTATCAGTCTGGTCTTTGAAGTTCGAACCAAATCCTATCCCCCTGTACTCTGTTTTCGAGCCTCCGTGGCATCAAGCCCTCTCTAGCACCCATACAAACCTGCGGCCTATCACCCGAATGGGCCAAAACTCATTTATCGAATTATTAACCCTCACCTTCAGTCAGGTCTTTGAACCAAACCCTATTCCTCTGTACTCTGCTACTGAGCCTCCATCTTCCACCTTCGTTCCTTTCCTTTCCCCATTCCTCACCTTCCTCTTTCCTGCGCTCCCTCTCACGCGCCATCCCCCATTTATTATCCAATCCAGACCTCACTCTGCCCGTTGCCCATCTCTTCTTATGCATATTTTCATCCAAACCAGCCTAGTCCCTGAGTCCCATTTGAACCTTTTGCATCCTTTTTGAACCTCTCCGTCTACGCTTCGTGTCCAGTATCAAAACTTTTCCCCTTCATTAGACCGTTCCGTAATCCTAGTTTCCTCAGCTCCTCTTCTATATCTCCACTTTCACTCCCCACTTTCTTCCCTTTTTCCTGTGCTCTTTTCCTCTTTTAGGTGGAAGCAGCATGGCTGGTATAGAGCTGGGCGAAGTCATTGGAAGTACTTGGGATGCGTTGCCTCATAGGTGCCTAACATAGGAAAGAAGTTTGAAACCAGGAGTCGACTGGGGGGCTAGTGATACTGCTGCTGATGCTTGTGGAGGCCACAGTCCGGCTTAGCCTACTGGCTGGAAGGGGTTACTGGGGTGTGTGCAAAGTGCTGCCTCTTTTTTTTTTTTAAACCCTGTGCAGGTGTGCTAGAGGGGGTGATATGAGCATCCTCCTCTAGCACACGTGCTATGTGTAGCTCCGGTCTGTTATGGGGAGCAACACTTGCTCGAGACCGGGCCCAACGTCCCATCACATCACCGTATCATACTAATATCGGGGCCCTTACCTGGCTTCAGCTAGAAATAAAGATCTGTTTGCGAGGCTTTCACCGCCTCTTCAACCAGCTGGAAAATTTTGAGTGCCCAAACTTTTGCGATTTTTAAGTTCATCCTTCAATGAAAATTTCAAATAACATCATGGATGTAGGGTAGGTTCTGATCAAAATCATCAAATT